AGTTGGACGCAACTGAGCAACTAACACTTTCACTTTTTTTCAAAAGTAAAATAATTGTGATTTTAAATATGATATAAGTTTATTGTCACCTTATGTAAAAGAAGTCCAGATCTGAGTAACCCAGGAGTGGTGTGGTACTAGGAAGACAATAGAAGATTTCCATGCTGCTGTACACTTACCTTTTCTTTTCTTTTGATATCCACATCGTGTTGCCTGGACAGACACCTTCAAAATGCACTGTGTTAACTGCTGGCTGCTGCTGCGTGTCTTAGCATTTTACAGATTCTACAGCATCTGCTCTTAGATGTAGTTGTAAAGTGGAGAGTCCCAGAGTGCTTTGGAGAACACTTTCATTGTGTTTTTTGTTTGGGAAATGGATTTCTTTGCCTGTAGTCTTTTTTCCCTCTTTATTTCAGAGCTTTAAATATAATTGTACTGAAGTTAAAAACATTTATTGATGTTTGTTGCATTTTATTCCATCAGAACTTCTCAGCACCTTTTTCAAAATATTAATTGGCTGAGATATGTTTGAAGCAAGAGGCTGTCAGAAGGGAAGAATAATGGACCATGACTTAGCTGTTTTTATTTGAGATTTATTATATTTCCAGAGATTCTGCCTTGATTGAAGCCATTGATGACCATGAGCAACTGAGAATATATTTTTAAACACAAATTCTGCACTGTGTACTGTGAAGGTAATGTGAAGAGCCAGTGCTCTGGTATGGTATACCATACCATACCAAAGATGGTAACTGATCTTGTCAGAATAGATTCATTTAATTAATAGGGTAGCTTTTATAATTAAAGTGTAATCAGAAGAGTCATGGATGAGTGTGATGGTGACATAGGCTTCTCAGGTGGCACAGTGGTAAAGAATCCGCCTGCAATGCAGGAGATGTGGGTTCGACCCCTGGGTCGAAAGATTCCCTGGAGAAGGAAATGGCAACTCATTTCAATATTCTTGCCTGGGAACTCCCATGGACAGAGGAGTCTGGCGGGCTGCAGTCCATAGGGTCGTAAAGAGTTGGATGTGACTTGGCGACTAAGCCTGCACGCCTGCACACATGCTGGTGACATGCCTTGGTGTTTCATGGCAAATGCGGCAAGTGCTGTCATGGATGTACATCGTCCTGAGGGTCCCTCGTTGTAGCACCAGTGGGTGCCTAGGAGCTCGAGTCTGGCCGCTTCTCCTTGACCCGCAGACACTCGGGTCTTCAGTGTGCTTCTCTGAGAGTGTGTTGCTGTGTTTGGATTTGAGTTTGCTGTAGTCCTATAAAATTGTGACAGTTTCTGGATTTTTTTCTTCTTTCTATGGCCAGATATTTCATTCTCAGTGTTTTGAAATGTTTGATCAAGAATTTAGGCCATATTCATGGCTCATTTTATAAGGAAGGGAGCATACTCTGAAGATACGGGGAGAGAGCCCATTGGGGAACCTAAGGGCGTGAACCTCTGGCCCTGGGAAACGGTGCTTCTCCTCAAACACCCCATTGTGGTGTGGGAACAAAGCGTAGTACTGTACACGTCTCCCTTTCCCCGACTGCTGCTTGTCTTCATCCTCGATGAGGTTTGTCTCAGCACGCTTTTCATTCCAAAGTCAGTATGTTCAAAAATAACTATTTTTTTTCATATTATTCATATCTGAACAGCATCACTAGGGTGGATTTTCTATACTGTGGCCTGGCAACATTTCAGGTTGTCTTAACTTATTGGAGTGTAAGGTTTTAGTGTCAGAGAGGAGGTGACAGAAGAATTCCTAACTTGAAAACTGTCTCATGATGGATTATGCAGTTTCGTAGGTGAAATTACACGTATGTTCAGATCATATTTAAATTTATTCAGGTATTTTATACATAGTGTGTGGACTTCTAAACATCCATCATTCTTATTCTTAGAGGAGAAACTTCTAAAAGACAAATAGACTTCCACGGTTAAAAATCAGAACACATTTGAGTACCGCAGAAGAGGGATTAGGAATCATAAGGAAAGCATATCTGTAGTGTTTGTGGGCATGAGTATAGTTCAAGGAATGTAATGAAGTCATCTTGCCAGAATAGTGCTTTAAATGTTAGGCAGCCTTTTCTTGTGAATTGGAGATGGGGTTAAGGCAAATTGTCAAATTTCTATTAAATTTTCACATGCCAAAAAAAAAAAAAAGGCCACCTGATAGTTAAACTCTGTGTACTCCTCAAAGATAACTTCTCATAATATTCTTTAAGAGAACAGGACAGAGTAATAATTTTTATTCAGAATGACTTGCCCAAGGTCATATCACCAAACTCAGTGATACAAGGTATTAAGATACAGGTCACATATTATAGCTTTTCCCTGAAACAGTGTTATTGCAGTTGTCTCTAGGGTGCCAGGCAGAACATACCAAACTCGAAAGTCAGGCAGCAGACTAAGGTAAACAATTTCCCCTACAATCTGTTCTCTATGCAGCTGTCAAAGTGATCTTTGAAAAACCTACATCATATCATATCACTCCATTGCTTAAAACCTCATGGGGCATCCAGTGTTTCATAGAATGTACTTCGCTACCCTCTTCCTCTGCTCCCTGCCCAGCCTGGTCTTTAATTCCTTGAAGATGTCAAGCTCATTCCCACCACATGGCCTTTGAACTTGTACATGCTGTTTCCTCTGCCTGGCAGACTGCTGCTTGTCGGATTCAGGTAGCGTCAGATTGTGTAGTGGTTAGAAGCATGGGTTCTGAAACCTGATTGCCTGCGTTCAAGTTACTATCTGACCTCTCAGTGCCTTCATTTCCTGAGCTGTAAAAAATTGGGTAATATAAGTGAATACCTCTTAATGTTGTGAAGGTTGAATACACACATATGAAGTGTCTCACACAGGTAAGTGCTCATTAAGTGTTGGCTATTATTCAAGTCTCAGCTCAGAGATTATCTCCTCAGTGAGACCTTTCTTGAACATATAATTTAAATGAGCCATCCCACACCCCCCCGTAAAAGTTACAGTTACCTGAAATTATTTTACTGTGTATTTATTTTTGTGTGTGTGTCTCTTTCATTGTAATGTAAGCTCCATGAAAGAGGGAATATTTTCTCTTGCACTCCCAGTGCCTAGAATAATGCCTGATATTCAGTATATATTTGTTGGGTGAATTAATGGAAGTCAGATCATCCCAGAAGGTCCTCTTAGTGACATTAAGACTGAAGGCAGTTGGTCTCACGCAGTGAAGGGTGTGCCCATGTGTACCCAGCACCTTTAGGTTGTGGTCTAGGCTGTGGATATCTGGCAGGGGCATGTAGAGAGGTAATACAAAGAAAAAGAGTTGAACCCGCAGATAAAATACATATTTTACTTTTCTTGATTCTCAATGTTTTTATTTATTTCTCCTGCTTCCAGCTGGTAAGTTCATGTCCTTTTTTATAAGCCCTTGAGCTTACTTGTGTCTTTAAGTTTGGGGACAGCTGGTTGCCCCTCAGCATTATAAAGTTACAGCTTTATTGAGCTTCGTCTAAAATAGTGTGAGTAGAAAGTACCGATATGTAATTAGATACTCAGCTGTATATGATAATTTTAGGAATCAGAGGGATGGTCTAAAACTCAAAGTAGGCAATCTGAGACTAGGCATTCCTGAGTTACCAACAGAGTCAGGTATGATAACAATTTATCATTCCCTTGTGTCTGTACCTCTGCCTTTTCCTCTTACTGTCTTTTTTTTTTTTTCTGTTTTATTTCTTATATTCCTTTTTGTTTCTGTCCTTCTACTCATGTCCATGTTTTCCATATGTATATGAGTGAAAATGTTAGTCACTCAGTTGTGTCCAACTCTTTGTGACCCCATGGGCTGTGTAGCTCACTAGGCTCTTCTGTCCATGGAATTCTCTTGGCAAGAATACTGGAGTAATAGCAAATGAAACAACTGACAAAGGATTAATTTCCAAAATATACAAGCAGCTCATACAACTCAATACCAGAAAAACAAACAACCCAGTCAAAAAGTAGGAAAATGACCTAAACAGACATTTCTCCAAAGAAGACATACAGATGGCTAACAAACACATGAAAAGATGCTCAACATTGCTCATTATTAGAGAAATACAAATCAAAACTACAATGAGGTGTTGCCTGACACCAGTCAGAATGGCCATCATCAAAAAGTCTAGAAATGATTAATGCTGGAGAGGGTGTGGAGAAAAGGGAATGCTCTTGCACTGTTGATGGGAATGTAAATTGATACAGCTACTATGGAAGATGGTATGGAGATTCCTTAAAAAACTAGGAATAAAACCACCATATGACCCAGCAATCCCACTCCTAGGCATATACCCTGAGGAAACCAAAATTGAAAAAGACACATGCATCACATTGTTCATTGCAGCACTATTTACAGTAGCTAGAACATGGAAGCAACCTAGATGTCCATCAGCAGATGGATGGATAAGGAAGTTGTGGTACATAGACACAATGGAATATTACTCAGCCATAAAAAAGAACACATTTGAGTCAGTTCTAATGAAGTGGATGAACCTAGAACCTATTATGCAGAGTGAAGTAAGTCAGAAAGAGAAAGATAAATACTGTATTCTAATGCATATATATGGAATCTAGAAAAACGGTACTGAAGAATTTATTTACAGGGCAGCAGTGGAGAAACAGACATGGAGAATACACTTATGGACATGGGGAGAGGGGAGGAGAGGGTGAGATGTATGAAAGAGTAACATGGAAACATACATTGCCATGTATAAAATAGATAGCCAGCAGGAATTTGCTGTATGGCTCGGGAAACTCAAACAGGGCCTCTGTATCAACCTAGAGGGGTGGGAGGGGAAGGGAGATGGGAGGGAGGTTCAAAAGGGAGGGGATATATGGTTACCTATGTCTGATTCGTGTTGGGGCTTGACAGAAAACAGCAAAATTCTGTAAAGCAATTATCCTTCAATTAAGAAATAAATTTTTAAAAAGTAAAAAAAAAAAAAAATACTGGAGTGGATTGCCATGCCCTTCTCCAGGGGATCTTCCTGACACAGGAATTGAACCTGGGTCTCCCTCATTGCAGGCAGATTCTTTACTGTCTTAACCACCAGGGAGCTGAAATGATGTTTCTATTATCTGACTTTGGCTCCTGCATCCAGTACCCAAAATCGCATTCATTATCCCCTCAGGTAAATGTCCTCCTTCTCTCTTCCCTGTTTCTATTAGTAGAATTCGTGTTCTGCGGTCATTCTGGCTTAAAACCTCGGTATCATCTTTGATACCTCCTTTTCTTCCCCCATAACCAGATACAAACCAGTTGTATCACTTATAAATTCTCTGTTAATCATTCCACATTAACTCAGCAAAGATTTGACTTTATGCTCTGTGCTAGGTATGGCTCCATGTTGTGTGTGACAGTTCCTGTCTTTCTGCATTTACTGCTGCAATTCAGGATTTCAGTAAGTTATACTTTGCCTAATGAAAGTAGCTTTGTAACTTTTTTCCCAACCTCATTGTCCTTTTTGCCAATCCAGTATTTATTCCACTGCCAGATTAATCCTCCAAAACATGGTTTGATTATGCTGTTCCCTACTTTAAATTTTTATTTTATTTTATATTGAGCTGTAGTTGATTTATTCCTGTTTCCTAGAGTGAAGCTCTAGAGTGAAGCTCAGCTCAGGCACATCTCATGTGACTTGTATGCGATTGCCCTTTTTGAACATCTTCTACACCTTTTCACACCCTTGTTTTTGTTTAGGCTGTTTTGTCTCCTGGAAGACTATAAGCTCCCGAGGTCAGGAATTTGTTTTATTCACTGTAGCATCCCTCAGCACCCAGAAGAATACCTAGCGTGTAGTAGGTACTCAGTAGATATTTATTGAGAGAATGAATAAAAAATAAGTGAATCTTGTCAGTAGTACCCATTTAAAAGTGTTTATTGACATGTAGTCGATTTACAATGTTGTGTTAATTTCTGCTTACAGAAAAGTGACTCAATTAATACATATATTCTTCTCCAAATTTTCTTCCATTATGGTTTATCACAGGATACTGAATATAGTTCCCTGTGCTTTGCAGTAGGACCTTGTTGTTTATCCATTCTCTGTATAGTCCCACACTCCCAATACTTCCCTCCCCCATGCCTCCCTCCCTGTGGACAACCACAGGTCTGTTCTTTATGTGTGTGAGCCTGTTTCTGTGTTGTGTGTGCACGCATGCTAAGTTGCTTCAGTCATGTCTGACTCATGGCAACCCTATGGGCTGTAGCCTGCCAGGTTCCTCTGTCCATGGGATTCTCCAGATAAGAACACTGGAGTGGGTTGCCATGTCCTCCTCCAGGGGATCTTCCCGACCCAGGGATTGGACTCATGTCTCTTACATCTCCTGCATTGGCAGATGGATTCTTTACCACTAGTGCCACCTGGGAAGCCCCATTCTGTTCTATAATACTGTCCATTTTTTATGAGTGTTCTCAAACTTTAGTGTCTTAGGAACCTTTTCTGATCTTATATGTATTTTTATTTAAACATAAATACCTACCTGTGACAGAACCTTTTTCTCTCTTTTTTCTGTATCAGTGCTGACTGTGTATATGTCATGTGGTTTCCATGAGGTTAATATAGTCAGTAGACGAGCAAATGTTCATTGAGTTCCTATTCCGTGTCAAGTATAATATCCAGCTACTTGAGTAAAAAAGACAATAGGACAGAATCTCTTTCCTCAGTGCACTTAACTGCCTAGTGGAGGATCAGTCTGTTTTAATAGTAGTAAAAGTGAGAAGCAAGCCCGGGATCTTATGGAAGCGTAGCCTGTTGGAAAGTGATAGTAGGGAGAAGAAGGTGGGGTGCAGAAGAGGCGATTCTAGCAGTCACAAGTAGAAAGCAGCAGCAGATGCTTGGAGGGGAGTAGTGAGAAGGGAAGCAAGTGCTCTGAAGGGCCTTGTACTGCTGTTACTGAAGAGGCAGTTCTGTATTGTTAGCTTTCATATGGTTTGTTGGAATAAGAGGAAAGACTTGGACAGCTGATTCCCCCTTGGGAGAAGCTGAAAACCTGAAGTGAGCAAAAGCTGAAGATCCATGGAAGTTTCTGGAAAAAAAAAAAAAAAAATTACTTGGGTGGTAAAGTTTTTGTTACTTGAAATGCCTTCCTACTTGAGTGATAGGCTATATAAGCAATTCCAGTTTGAAAATAATTTTTTTTCTGAGAATTTGAAAGTATATTCTATTTCAGTTTCCAGTGCTGATGTTAAGAAATCTGATGTCATTTATTGTATCTCCCAATGTTGTAGGTAAGTCATTTGGGCAGGGCTTAGCTTGGGGGATTCTTCTGTTCCACATGGTGGCATTCAGCAAGTGACTGGGCTTGCCTAGTGGGTACAAGAGAGAACCTGCCTGCCACTTTGATGGGGCTATCTGGAAGGCTAGTCTTAGCTAGGTTCCTTTTTTTTCCAATGTAGTCCTGAGACCTCTTTTTATGGTCTGTCCATCATAGTAGTTGAGCTTCTACTACAGGAGTTCAGGGCTTAGACAGTAAGAGTTTTAAAGATTTGGTGTATCTGTTAAATTGAGGGGAATAAAAGTAAAAATCTGTACAGCTAAACAAAAGTTTCATTAATTGATTTTAAAAACCACTTTTTATACAGAGAAACTGTTTTTTGAAAGAAGAACCGTATCATTTGGTTGTGTGAAACTCTTTTATGACGGGTCATAACACAAAATCATGATAGTGTATACTTCTTCAGATTTATCATCTGTCTGCGTGAGCTCTCCGCTCCTTTGACACGCTTCGTGCTGCTGCTTCTAGTTACATATGCCACTCGCACCAGCAGAAGGCATGCGGCCCGCCAGGGGGTGGGGAGGAGGAAGGGTGAGGCGGAGTCAGGCCAGCAGGGAGGGAAGCAGATGGGCTGTGGGAGATGACCCTGCCCCCGCGTTGTTTTTGTTCTGGCTGCTACTGATCATATGTGAATCAGCAGCCAAGAAACTGAAGCTGGTGATCCTATGATGAAAAAGAAAGTTTGACTTTGGATTCAGTAGAAGTATAAATTTACACCATTAAAACGTGATGCAGATTTTTTTTCTCTTGGTTATTTTAATTACATTTCCTTTGAGATATTTCAGAAGGTATTTTGAGACATAACTTTAATTTTTTTTAATAGCATTATACATATAATCTGAGATAAATATTACTCTTTCAGCTTTTCTTTTTCATGCAAATTGTACAGTAAATACAATTTTAGGAGTATTCAAGAACTGGTAGATTAGACTTAATCTATGATGGCAATGCCTCAGCATTTTTGGTTCTTGTCTCTAGATTCCCAGTTAACTAGGACTTTCTCCTGTTATTCTCTCTTCTTTTGTCAGTGCTTACACTTGACTTTTGTTTGGCTTATTTTCTAAGGTGAAGATTAAGGAAACCTTGCTTTATGTCTTACCAAGTCTTTACTTTGTTCTATGGAAGACTATTATTTAAAAAAAATTTTTTTTTAATTATAAGAATGTTAGCAAACATACATCAATATAGAGAGAACAACAATATAATGAATCTCCATATGCCCAGTATAAAGCTTCAATAGTTAGCAATGTTCTGCCACTCTTGTTTCATCTGTTCTGCCTGCCCCTAATGATTTTTTATTGAAGAATTTTATTGTAATACCATTTAATGTTAGCATTTTGAAAGAAATCTTTGAATTAAATTGAAATTCGTTAACTTGAAATTGTTCAGTTAAATACTACTATAGCATGTAGCTTGCCCGGTAAAAACGTGTGGTAAACTATCTATATAGGTATGTAAAATTTTCATGTGACTTCTTCAAGCCCTTAATAATCTTATAAATATGGAACTTAATCCCTTTACCAGCTCAGCTGGAAAAGAATCTGCATGCAATGTGGGAGAACTGGGTTCAATCCCTGGGTTGGGAAGACCCCCTGGAGAAGGGAAAGGCTACCCACTCCAATATTCTGGCCTGGAGAATTCCATGGACTGTATAGTTCATGGGGTTGCAAAGAGCAGGACATGACTGAGCAACTTTCACAATCAGATGCTAAACTATTAAAATAAATTCTGAATGGAACACTGAATAAAAGTTCTTCAAACTGCGTTTTCTTTCATTCAAGGTAGTGGCAGGCAGTCATGGTCCAGGTCATTACAGGATTTGATATTCCCTTCTTTAATCTATTAAAAATGCACGAGTCTAAAACACATCACTTTTTAAACTTCATTTTTCTTCATGCCTGGATTTGACTTGGTTTGACTTTTTTTGAGGGGCCATATTCTGGTTTCTTTTAAAGAGAAATCTTTTTTTTTTTTTTTTAAAGAAGTACTGGTTATGTGTATTAAGTGCATACCAGAATTACACACTCATGCAGTTTAACTTCATTTGCTTTGTTAAAAAAATCAGGATATCATGTGATGGGTGGATCTCTATTGTCTTTTGGGAGCAGTAACACATGTGAATGTCAGATCTCTAAATCTTAGCAATAATAATTTTCTAATTCAGAGTAATAGGAGAAAGATCGTTCTGAATTACTGAAAAATAAATTTAAGGACACTTTAAAGAATAGACAGTTTATTCTTTCAAACTCAGTGACTAATATGGGTTAGTTTAGTAAATTATTTCTTAAGCAGAGATCTTGCCAAGCTATTTCAAAATTATTGTGGTAAAAAACACGATACTGAAGTTACCATCTTAATCATTTTTAAGTGGATAGCTCAGTAGTGTTAAGTATATTCACATTATTGTCCAACAGATCTCTAGAATTTTTGTATCTTACAAAGCTGAAACTCCACATTGAGAAACACTATTGCCAGGTCATTTTAAATGCAAAAATAGCTCATTTGAAATGAGAAATACACATTTACATATTAACATTGACTGTGTTATATGTTAGTCTCTTTTGTAATTGTGTTAAGAATTATACATTATGAGGCAGTATTTTAGTTTTTCTCTTAATCTGGTAAACATTATAAAATTACTGGCATTCTTTTATCCTACCCCTCCCTCAAGTAGCATAAAATTTTTCTTAATCTCATACTTGGTTGTAGACTCACAGATATCAGTGAAGTCTGAAATAAGGAGATTTTGCTGTTTTGTTAAGAACTTTTTGTATGAAACTATGATTCTGCCCAGCAGCTTACCTGGAGTACTTGAATAAGGTTTGCTGATTCCTGTCCAGTCTTCTTATATCATTCAGATTTTCCTCAAGACCTGCCTGTCTTGGTCCCCAGATTATCTTTTAAGTGTCTTTCATTTGCTTTTGTCTTATGGACAAGTGTTTATCAAGTGGATGTTAAATGTGCAAATACTATTTGTAGGGTCTGTCTACTCTCTACACACACAGCTGTTACCATCTCAGTTAAACATTATTTTCTAATGAGAGGTATGAACTCACATAGTCTATAATGTCTTAGCAAATGTCTTTTCCCAGTTTTATTGAGATATAATCGATATATAGCACTGTGTAAGTTTAAGGTGTAAAGTGTAAATAATGACTTGACTTACATATACTGTGAAATGTTTATCACAATAAGTTTTGTTAACTTTCATCATCTCATATAAACGAAAAAATTTTTTTTCTCTGTGATGAGAGCTGTTAGGATATACTCCTTTAAAAACTTACAAATATATAGCAGTGTTAGCTCTACTTGTAATTGGAAGTTTGTATTTTTGACAACCTTCATCCAATTCCTCCACCTCCCACCCCCACTACTGATAACTACAAGTGTGATCTTTTTGTGTGTGAGTTTTTATTTTTGTTTTGTTTTCTAAATTCCATATATTTGTCTTTTTCTGTCGGATTTATTTAACTTAGCATGATGCGTGCAAGGTCTCTCCATATTTTTGCAAATAGCAGTGTTTCCTTCTTTTTGTGGATGAGTAATATTCCAGTGAATATTCACAACCCTAAAGTTGAAGTTTTGGTACTGTCCTTCTCCTGCTTTCCTTAGGACTCATTGGGGGGGGGCGGGGGGGGGCGGGGACGGGGAAGAGAGAGAGAGTGTGTATGTGTGTTTAAACTCACTTCTCAGTGCCATCATCTATGTGCGTTTGTGTGTCTGTGTGAGCATGCTCATATGTTTCAGGGTGATTGAGGATTCTGTCCTAAGGAGTTTGAGTCTCAAAGTATTACTACCACACCCTGGCCAAGTTTTTTTTAATCTGAAATTTCACTGATTTATACTTCAGTGAAATTGAATCCAACTTTACAGAGAAGTTTCAGTGCAGCTCCCTAGCCTGTTAGACTCAAAACCTCCTTTTCTGTCCTCTGTGGACATGAAAACCTAAGCTGTATGGCCACCAAGACCAGCAGCTCCCCCAGAGCCAACCGTGTGCTGCACTGCATCTTGACTACTTTCGTCTCACCGCTGTGATTCCTAGTTCCTGCCTCATTCCTGGAGCCAGAGGTTTCTCTACTTTCTTGTTATTTCAGCTGTGCATTTAAAGAAAGAAAGAAAGAAAGAAAGTCACGTCACTCAGTCGTGTCCGACTCTTGGTGACCCCATGGACTGTAACCTACCAGGTTCCTCCATTCATGGGATTTTCCAGGCAAGAATACTGGAGTGGGTTGCCGTTTCCTTCTCCAGGAGATCTCCCCGACTCAGGGATTGAACGCGGGTCTCCCACATTGTAGGCAGACGCTTTACCATCTGAGCCACCAGGGAAGCTCTCGTGCATTTAAAACACTTGTTCAGATTTATCCAGCATTTCTAGGTGTTTTATAGCTAGGAAACAGTCAGACTACCTGGTCCCTGCCCCATTGCTAGAAATCGAAATCTGCCTCTTCATTTGACAAGATAGACTGGAACCCAAAGATGGGACCTGAGGCCACAGAGCATGTCTGAGAAACACCTAGACTTAGGCTCTGGGCCTCCTGAGGTTTCTCTCTCCTGCAGGGGATAAGGAAAGATGTGGCTCAGTCATGAACTTAGCGACTTTGGGCAGACCCTAAGCCCACACCCCACTGCCCAAAGCCTGTCCTGGGATGGAGAGCACAGGGCCTGGCCCTTGGAGTTTGGGGAAGGGCTGCAGATGCAGGGGTGATGGAGGGCAGGGGCAGACGGGCTCAGGGAGAGGCTGGGCCCTCAGGCTGCCTGGAGCCAGGCTGCAGCTCTTCCACGCGGTACGCAGAGAGCCGGCTCACACCCCCCCGCACAGAGCTCTTCTCCCCTCAAAGGATTTTTGAATATCATAAAATTGAATTTTTTAGTCTGAAAAAGCTCCTATTAAGGAAAGCAAACATACTATTAGCAAATAAGCCAGATGGATTAATCATGTATAACAGTTGTTTTCTCCTGGTACACGTAGAGACATGGCTTAAATGATGGTAAATCATAGACAGGATGGGCAAAATTCTTTGAAGGTCAGATTTCTGGATTTCCTTGGTAGGCATTTGTTATTATATAATTCCTACAATTTTTCAAACCCTTTAACAGTTGTTTTTCCAGTGTTTGCCCATATTATCTCTTAGACTGTTGCATTCCTAAAATATATTTTTTCTTTTGAACATCCCTCACTCACTTTCTTTCACCCTTTTTGGAGTAGAGAGTCCTTAATATCCTTGTTCTTCTTAATGTCAACTCCCCCCCCCCCCCTTAATTGTTCTTACCTGGATCATTTCCTTTCCTTTGTATTTTATGAGGATCAACTAGAACTGCAGTTAGCTTTGGGCACAGTGAAAGCTTTACATGAAGGTGGATGTGATGGTCCTTTTAGTTTTCAATGTCTTTCTTCATTTCATGGCTTTCCAATATTTTGGTGATTTCTTCATCTGAAGCACATTAGATGCAAGTCCTCACTGAAGTCTGCAGGGAGCCCCTAGGCCCCCTTTTTAGATTAAGAATTATAGCCTCTTCATTATAAAAACAATATATGTTTTAGAGAAAATTTGGAAACTAAAAGTAAAAATTTTCATAGTCCGACAAACAAAACCCATTTTGTGTTTTGGTAAACTTCCTTATGGCTTCAGTTGGTAAAGAATCTGCCTGCAATGTAGGAGACCCTGGTTTGATTCCTGGGTTGGGAAGATCCCCTGGAGAAGGAAATGGCAACCCACTCCAGTATTCTTGCCTGGGAAATCCCATGGACAGAGGAGCCTGGCGGGCTACAGTCCATGGAGTCACAAAGAGTTGAACATGACTGAGTAACTCTTTATGGTCTTTTTTCCCCTGTGTAATATTTTTATATGAGTATGTATTTTTATATCTTTTTAAAACTTTAGATAAACATTTTCTGCATTTTAAATGCTTTGAAAAAAATCTTCATAATTCCACAGGATTTGGCGGGTGAATATAGTCTTAATTCCCTTAACCATTAATTCTCATGCTTTTGAAAAGACTTTTATGTTGTTTGTATTCTTTTTCATTTTTAAAAGTCTTTTTCTTATGTTGGCATGTGTTTTGCTTTTTAGTATCCCATTCCTGGGTACTATGATTAAGTATTCAGGTAGGTTAAAATATTTGAGCTAAAAACCAAAAACACTACTTTGAAAAGATAATATACACCTCAGTGTTCATAATAGCATTATTTACACTTGGCAAGATATGGAAACAACCTACGTGCCTGTCAACAGATGAGTGGATAAAGCAGACGTGATATACATACATATATATATATACACACACACGTACATATGTATGTATATATATATGTGTACACACACACATACACACGGTGGAACCCCATTCAGCCATGAAAAAGAACAGATTTTTGCCATTTGCAGCAACATGGATGGACTTGGAGGGCATTTTGTTAAGTAAAATAAGTCATAGAGAGAAAGACAAATACTGTATGATATCACTTACATGTGGAATCTAAAAATAAACAACCAACTAGTGAATATAACAAAAAAGAAGCAGATGCACAGATACAGGGAACAAGCTAGTGGTTTCCAGTTGGGGGCTGGTGGGGGTGGAGAGGCAATATGGATGGAAGAGGAATGAGAGAGACAGACTGTTGGGTGTCAGATAGGATCAAGGATGTAGCATACAAAATGGGGAATATAGCCAGTATTTAGATGGAAAGTAACCTTTAAAAGTTGTATAAAAATTTAAAAAAATTGAGCAGTTATCCATTATCAAACAGATATCTCCATATTTCTGTGTGGAATCTAGTGGTTAAGGAATTCTTTTCTTAAAGAAATATTCTCCCCCAGATTAAGTTGGTACCATATACTTTAATATCATTAAGTATTATTTCTCAAGATATTTTTCCTTAGTAGTTGGAAGGTAACCGTGATCTCATAGCTCTTTCTCCTTGCTACTGTTTCCTTTTATCCTATGAGACATGTGTGTGTGTTGGTTTTTTTTAAATTTCTATAGTATTTTATTTATTTAAAAATTTATTTTAATTGGAGGATAATTACTTTAGAATATTGTAATGGTTTTTGCCATATATCAACATGTTTGTACGTTACTTTTATTTCAATTGTACGTTGTCCTCCTGAGTCATATAGTTGAGGACAATTGCCAGACTTGAAATCTCATGCACTCTGTGAGCATAATAAATATTAATTTAATAATAATGCTAGCTTACTTTACAAAAAACTTTTTAAGAATAGTGGTAGTGTACCAGTAATATGATAATTAGTATTTAGCATTCTGTACTCAGTGGACTAGTCTCTTTTCCACTTCTGAACTTTGCGTTTCCTTTTCCATTTCCAGGTTGACATCACGAAAGCCAAGGTGGATTTCTCCAGTGTCGTGTGCCTGCCCCCTTCCGTCATTGCTGTGAATGGGCTGGACGGAGGAGGGGCCGGCGAGAACGACGATGAGCCCGTCCTGGTGTCCCTGTCCGCGGCTCCCAGCCCCCAGAGCGAGGCTGTTGCTAATGAGCTGCAGGAGCTCTCCTTGCAGCCCGAGCTGACCCTGGGCCTCCACCCCGCCAGAAATCCCAGTTTGCCTCCACTCAGCGAGCGGAAGAATGGTGAGTGGATACGGAATTATTGAATTGCATAATTTGAATGAAGATCTTCATGTTCATAATGTCATAGATTCTTTATTTTATGTCTCTTGGAAGTTTCTTATAATCTTACTATTTTTTATAAAATGGAGAAATAAGAAGTTTAGATGATCACTGTAAACCCAGCATTTCCTGCCTGGATTACCATAATTATGTTCTATTTTTTTCCTACTTCTTTGCTTCTCCTTATGTAGTAATATTTCTCATTTTTTAAACCCATACACACATTTATGTAATACTTATATTAATTGGGGAGACAAATTATTTTAGCTAATTTTGTCCTTTTAATTTTCCATAATTTTAGAATCAGCTTGTGAAGTTCTATAAGAAAATTCATTGGGATTTTTTCCTCCAAATGAAAAATTTCAAACATATGATGAAATAGAGAGCTTTACAATGCACACCTTTATATCCATCACTCAGATTCTGCCATTAACATTTTATAATATTTTCTTTATAATAGATCTATCCCTCTGTGCATCAGTCCACCTTATTTTTTGGATGCATTTCAAAGTAAATTGCAGACATTTCCGTTTTATCAAAGTGTAACATTGATACAGAATAACACACAAATTGTAAGCATTGTGGTGGTTGAATTATCGTAAAGGGAATGTACTTGTGCATAATTACTACTGAAGGAAGAAATAAAACATTTCCAGCACCCCAGAACCACCCTGGTGCTTCTTCCCAGTCAGTGTTCTCTCTTCCTGCCCAGGAGGAGTACCATCCTGACTTTGAACGTAATAGGTCAGCTGACAGGTCAGCATTGTTTGCTTCTAAACTTGGGCCTCCCCTGGTGGCGCAGACGCTGAAGAATCCACCTGCAGTGTAGGAGACCTGGGCTCGACCTCTGGGTCAGGGCGATCCCCTGGAGAAGGGAATGGATATCCACTCCAGTATTTGGCTGGAGAATCCCATGAGCAGAGAAGCCTGACGGCTACGTCCGTGGGGTCACAAAGAGCTGGACACAGCTGAGCAACAGCACACACGCAAACGATGTGAATCGGTGTTCCTTTGGTGGCTTCTTTTATGTTTTTGAAATTTATTTTTGTTGAATCGTATGTGGCTATAGTTTATTTTCATTGCTGTATAAACCATTTCATGATTGTAATTTGTCCATTTTTACTTTTGATGGATATTTGGTTTGTTTTAGTTTGAGGCTGTTACGAATCATGCTGCTGTGGAGTTCTTGTACATATCTTTGGGTGCACTTGTTGGGATTTTGATTTTAAGGGGGGGAAATATACATTGTAAATGTTGGGTCTTCCTGTCCGTTTAGCTAGCTTTATTTCTCTGATTAAATAAGCCTTCTTTAATAGAAACCCACTGATTTTATAATTTTTTTTTCCACAAAGATCGTGCAAATATTTCATTAGGTTTGTTCCCTGATGTCTTTTTCTTGGGCAGACATTATAAGTGGTATATTTGTATAAAATATGTTTTGACTGTTTGATAGTTGTACCAAATGCCAAACCTTTTTGAAACTCCTCTGACTTTTCTACATCCATGGCCTCCATTTCCACCCCCTCTACCCTCTGCTGCTTTCTTGCTAACTCTTACTTGTCCTTCAGGATTCTGTTCGGACGCGGCTCTGTTTGAGAAGCCTGCTCTCACTCACATCCAGTGGTAGGTGTCCCTCTTTGTGTTTGCCCCGTTGCCCTTTGTCATCGTACTTCTTCATCTCCCTGTTGGTAATTGGCATTCTCCACTCAGTAGACCTTCAACTGAGTCTGAAGTCAGACATTGTTACACTCCTCTCAGAACCCTTCAGTGTCTTGCCATGAGACTTATGATAAAATCATAGTTCTTAAGACGTGGTCCTGGTATCACCTCTGACCTGATTTCTCACCTCCATTCCTCAGCTCACTCTGTTCCAGCCATGCTTACTTTCCTGCTGTTTCTTGAGTGGGTCAAGTATGCTTCCACCCCAGGGCCTTGACATTTGTCCCGTTACTGAAGTTCCTGCACAAATGTCATTTCTTTGGGAGGCCTTTCCCACCTATCTTATCTAAGATAGCACCTCCTATGACTCTCTGTCCTGCTTTGCTTTTCTCTAAGCACTTACTATGACTTGTATGTGTGGATTTGTGTGTGTGTGTGTGTATATCTTTATTATCTGTATTCCCTGTCTTTGATAGTATTTACATTTCATGAGGCTAGAAACTGTTTTGTTCATGGTGTATATTCTACTCTTGGTTCACAGTGGGCACCCAATAAATATTTGTTGAATAAATAGATGAATGGTTTACTTGTTTGTGGCAAGAACTCTGTTTTACATCCATAGTGGGAAATGTAGTGGAAACTCAGGCATTTTTTATTTTGGGAAATAGTGGACACTCAAGCAGTTGTTTGTGTTCTTTTCCCATTTCTAATTTCTACTTATTCCCCCAAGATGGCAGAAAGTTCAGCTTATTTATATGCTAAGGGGAAAGAGTTGGTCCAGAGGGAAAAGCTGGAGACAGAAAAAGAGAAAGGATGACCGATGGAACAAAGTTCTTGGGAGATGTGAAAGGATGGGATCCAAAAGATATTGGCTCTGCCTTGACGTGAGTGGGGACCGGCGTTCCTCTGGGACAGGAGCAATGGCGGCAAAGGTGATGACAGACAGCAGACAACAGAGCTCTCGTCTTGGGCAGGAAGTGGGGAGATTAGTGCCGACAGCTGTGATGGTCTCAGTGGAGTAGAAGGTGGCGGTTGCTGTTGAGGCAGAGGTGTTGGTGTGTCTTCAGCCTCTCTCTCTCAATTCTTTGTCATACAAATCAGCCGATTCCTGCCCTCACCCCCACCCCTGGCCATTTTGAATAACAGTAATTCCCTTCCTTTTATAGTCAAGCTCCTAAAAGAGGAGTTTACAGTTACTGTCTCCACTTTCCCGCCTTCTGGCCTCTGTCCCTGCCTCTCTTCAGAAGCTGCCATTGCCAAAATCATTAGTGTTCTTTTTGTTGTAGATCAGATAGGGACTCTATTCTGTTTGAATTCAGTGCAGCATTTGGTTGGCCACCGCCCCTCACCCCTGAAACTTTTCCTCCAGTGATGTCTGTGACACTGCTCTTTACTAGTTTTTAAAATTTGATCTTGCTAGTCACTCCTCTGCACAGATCTTTTTACTGTCTTTCTCTGCTTACCTCTTCCTTTCATGGATCACAGCCTTGTCGTGGTGAAGTGGCTTGTGTAACTCAGTGAAGCCATGAGCCGTGCCATGCAAGGCCACACAAAATGTACAGGTCATAGTGAAGAGTTCCGACAAAACACGGTCCACTGGAGGAGGGAATGGCGAACCACTTCAGTGTTCTTGCCGCAAGAACCCCATGGACAATATGAAAAGGCACAAAGTTTATAACACTGGAAGATGAGCCCCGCAGGTTTTAAGGTGTCCAGCATGGTATAGGGGAGAGCAGAGGGCAATTACTAATAGTTCCAGAAAGAATAATGTGGCTGGGCCAAAGTGGAAATGATGCTCAGTTGTGGATGTGTCTGGTGGTGAAAGTAAAAGTCCGATGCTGTAAAGTTCAATATTGCATAGGAACCTGGAATGTTAGGTCCATGAATCGAGGTGAATTGGATGTGGTAGGTGGGTAGATAGCATCACCGATTCAATGGACATGAATTTGAGCAAGCCCTGGGAGATAGTGAAGGACAGAAGAGCCTGGAGTGCTGTAGTGCATGGGGTCACAAAGAGTCAGACTCAACTTACTGACTGAACAACATTGACGACTACTCACCTCTTAAATTTTATTACTCTCCGGTGTTCAGCTCTAGAGTTTCCTTACTTCTTCCTTGGTATCTTTACCTTGAATGGTTTTCCCCAGAACTCTGGCTTTAGCCACCATTATATGCCATTGGCTCCATATTCTATCTCCAGGCCACATCTCTGTGCTGAGTCCAGACTCTTAGACTTGGTTGCCTTGTGTCTTCACTGGATGTGCTACAGACTCAATATGCTCAGAGTAAAACTCATCATCTTACTGCTGTTCCTCCTGAATTCTTCACTGTAGGAATTGGGACCACCGTTTACCCAGATGTTCAGAACAGGGAGTTGTTTTGTTTTCTTTCTGAATGAAAATTTAAAGAGTTTCATTTGTTTCATAATCAGATAAAGTATAGGAAAAAAGAAAAGAAAAATTCCCTTGTAAATGTGCAGTTCAGTGATAGCCAGTGGGAGCAGTTAGTTTATTTTCTGTCATTTTTTGTTTGTTCATTTGTTTGTTTACTCTTATACATATATACTCTGTATAAATTAGTTTCATGTAATATTTTATGAGATTTTGCTATATCATTCAGCTGTCTTAGAAAACATTTTTCTCTGCTTGATATTTGAATTGTGTGTATACAGCATTTAGCCAGTATCCTTTGAAACTCTTGCCTTGGTTTTCTTTTTTTATGTTATAAATAAAACTGCAGTAAACATCTTGGTGTATAAATCTTGGTGCAAGTAACTGTAGGACAAACTGCAGGAGTGGATGAAAAGATAAGGACATAAAGAACACTCTGTCCTTCTGATTGCAAAAGTAGCATGTTTGGATATGAAGTTTTTAATTTTAAAGTCATTATTTCCAAATTGTCCTCCAGAAGTAATTTTTTATTCCATCTTCTTTCTTTCTTCTCTTTCCCCCCAGCCACTGATTTTTGTAAATTTCACAATGGTCATTTCTACTGAATTCATTCTTTTCTTACAGTCTCTATGGCTGACACTTAGTTCAAACTCTTAATAATGTCACATTTGGATTACTCCAAGAATGGCCTTCTAACTCATGTCTCCTTGTTTTAGATCTTGTCCCTGTGGCCCCTGGGATGATCTTTCTAAGCCATAAATGAGGTTGATGCTCTCCTTCATGAAATCCCTTCGCGGATCCCAATTCTTCCCCTTGTTCTCATCCTGGAAGACCTTCACAGTCAGCTTCTGCCCCGCCCCTCATCTCTTCCTGCTCACTATAAAATATTTAGGTTTTCCCATAAGAGATACT